TCGCGGGTGTATTCCTGCCAGAGCTGCAACGTACGCATGGGCTTTAAACCTTCTTGGGTGGATCATTCAATTTGTAGTGCCCTTTGCCAGGGATGACATGCCTGACCCCGCCTCGCGGATTTGGAACATCTCCATCCCTTCTGGGGATCAAATGGAAGTGGCAATGAAAGAAAGTTTGTCCAGCAGAGGCTCCCGCATTAAGGCCGATGTTGAACCCGGTAACCAGCGGATCACTCTGTAGAATGCTATTGCGCAATTCTTCAAGCAAGTCGTGGCAATCTTCTCGTTCGGCCGCTGTGAGCCCCCAATAGTCAACGACATGTCGTTTGGGGATAACAAGCGCATGGCCATCACTGACGGGATACCCATCGTAGAAAGCAATTGCCAATTCGTTCTGAAAAACGATTCGCTCGGCTGGGAATTCGCAGAATGGGCAGGACAAGAGTTAGTGGGACTGGATAAGCAGGGATTTAAAGTAATCAGCCGTTTCTTGGTCGATTGAATAAACGTAGCACCCCTTCATCCCCCGTGTCATTAACATTCTGTAGGTGTTCTTGATGATCAAACCCGTGGTCTGCTTGGCCAATACGGGATTGGCTTTTTGCGAGGGCATTATCACCTTGTTTCAGCTGGCTCTATAAAACTAGAGGTTCCACATCCACTAAACACCCGTAATCTCAGACCATTTGGAAATCGCTTTTTGACGTAACGCCCGAGATGGTTTTCCGCTCTCAATAAATGCCGACCGTAACGGAACAGATTGTTCATGCTCGCGTGTAAAGAAAGAAATCGTTGCGCCTGATGGGCTGATTTGAACCGCTGCATTTGACGCTCCTTTCGTTGAGTTGCCTGATGAGAATTCTTCGCTCGATTGTTGGCATAACGTCGCGTGTTGTGTTCTGCTTCAGGTAGTGCTGCCCGAATCGCGGCTGGATAACTGCTAAGTCCGTCCGTCACGACGATTCTAGGTGCTCTGCCCTGACGTTCTAGCACTTTGCAAAAGGAGATCCTCGACATCGCTGAAACAAAGGGAAAAGCGGTGATAAAGCCAGACGGCGGTACTGATGCAATCGGGTGGAAAACGGTGACCGTGGTAGCGATTGGCTGGTTTCATCAGCTCAGCTTGCCATATCATTGGTCAAGTTGACAATGCCGTTCAAACTGGCCGTCGCGCCAAGCCTGGTACAGACGATCCGGGTTGGACTGCGAGGGTTGCGCGTGGTGGACTGCTCAATCATGCCCACCTTGGTATCGGGCAATACGAGCGCGCCAGCCAGCAATGGTCGCGGAGAAAGCGGGCGACATGATTCTTGAAGATGCTGAGGCAGGTGCTCCTGCAGCAGTTGTTGCCTGACCAAGGTCCGTCCTCGTTCTAAACACTCTTCAAGCCGCAACCTGTTCGACCACCATCCGGGCAGAGATCAGCGTTATTCCCAGCAATGCCGCCAACTCGTCCAGAAGTGCAGGCATTGTGGGGTGGCTCCAACCTCTTTCCATCACTCATGAAAATTCGCGCGCGAGGCGAATACGGTGCATCTGAGCGTCGATTTGATCAGAAATCATCGACGCTCTGATGACCAGAGATTGTCACGCTTGTTCGCCAATCGGGTCATTCGCCGATACCCCGCTTTTAAAGATTTTTTTGGCATGGAAGACGCGATTGCCCAAATCGTGTCTTACTTCAAGCATGCGGCGCAAGGTCTTGAAGAACGCAAGCGGGCGCTCTACCTGCTTGGGCCAGTCGGTAGGGGTAAGTCATCGGTTGCCGAAAAACTCAAAGGGCTGATGCAGGCCTTTCCGATCTACGCACTCAAGGACTCACCGGTTAATGAGTCACCCCTGGGGCTCATTAACCCAGAGCGGGATAGTGAGGGAGGCACTGGAAAAGGAATATGGCATTCCCAGCGCTATCTGACCGGCATCATGAGCCCGTGGGCGATCAAGCAGCTCGCTGAATTCGACGGTGACATCACCCAGTTCAAGGTTGTCAAGATTCAACCCTCAGTGTTTTAGCAAGTGGGCATTGCCAAGGCAGAACCTGGTGATTAGAACAATCAGGACATCTCATCTCTGGTTGGCAAGGTCGATATCCGCAAACTGGAATCACTCGCTCAGGACGATCCTGATACCTATAGCTACTCGGGCGGCTTGTGTCTGGCCACATCTGGTCGATGCCTGGAATAGAAGGCATCTATATGTGGATGTGCCGGTATTACAAGGCTCTCAGAGGATCGACCTGCTTAAAGCATGGCCATGCAGCGGACTACAACACCGCGTACACCGGTTGGATTCAGAAATCGTATTTTGGCCGAATTTCCAGTCCGCCGCTTTGCGCTGTACTGACAAGATTCACGCCCTAAGTGGAGGTTTGCACAACTATCTAGAGCAGCAAAAAAACAACCTGTTGGCTGCTTCTGGCGGCCAAGTCAATCTTGTCCATCGCTCACCCACCATATTGTGAGGTAGCGCATCTGGATTACAGGGCGATACTGGCCGCCGTGTAGCGTTCTTAGACGATTGATATCCCTTGGTACGCGTGAAGAACCAGAAATGGCTCTGGCTAGG